GCAGCAGGTTGGACTGTAGTGGGAGCAGCCTGGATGGGGCTGGCAGCAGATTGGACTGTAGTGGGAGCAGCCTGGGTGGGTCTGGCAGCAGGTTGGACTGTAGTGGGAGCAGCCTGGGTGGGGCTGGCAGCAGGTTGGACTGTAGTGGGAGCAGCCTGGATGGGGCTGGCAGCAGGTTGGACTGTAGTGGGAGCAGCCTGGATGGGCTGGCAGCAGGTTGGACTGTATGGAAGCAGCCTGGATGGGGCTGGCAGCAGGTTGGACTGTAGTGGGAGCAGCCTGGGATGGGGCTGCAGCAGGTTGGACTGTAGTGGGAGCAGCCTGGATGGGGCTGGCAGCAGGTTGGACTGTAGTGGGAGCAGCCTGGGTGGGGCTGGCAGCAGGTTGGACTGTAGTGGGAGCAGCCTGGATGGGACTAGCAGCAGGTTGGACTGTAGTGGGAGCAGCCTGGATGGGGCTGGCAGCAGGTTGGACTGTAGTGGGAGCAGCCTGGGTGGGGCTGGCAGCAGGTTGGACTGTAGTGGGAGCAGCCTGGATGGGGCTGGCAGCAGGTTGGACTGTAGTGGGAGCAGCCTGGATGGGGCTGGCAGCAGGTTGGACTGTAGTGGGAGCAGCCTGGATGGGGCTGGCAGCAGGTTGGACTGTAGTGGGAGCAGCCTGGATGGGGCTGGCAGCAGGTTGGACTGTAGTGGGAGCAGCCTGGATGGGGCTGGCAGCAGGTTGGACTGTAGTGGGAGCAGCCTGGATGGGGCTGGCAGCAGGTTGGACTGTAGTGGAAGCAGCCTGGATGGGGCTGGCAGCAGAGAAGTCAGCAGGGGTGGTGGTGAAGTCATCCAGAAGATTACCAACTGTGGGGTCCATTGCAGAGTCCTCAAAATCAGTCTCCTCCAAGTCAGTGTCCATGTCCTGTATGGCCTTCCCAGTCTGCCTGAGCAGGTAGTCCACACACCAATCAGCTGTCCTGAGCAGGTAGTCCACACACCAATCAGCTCTCCTGAAAATGAAAAAGACAGCAGAATGCAAAACAAGACAATAATAGATGAATATGATTACTCACAATATCGTCATCAAATCAAAACACTGACACATACACAACATGACCAAAAGTATGTGGACACCTGCTCGTCGAACATCTCATTCCAAAATCATGGCCATTAATATGGAGTTGGTCCCCCCTTTGCTGCTATAACAGCCTCCACTCTTCTGGAAAGGCTTTCCACTAGATGTTGGAACATTGCTGTGTGGACTTGCATCCATTCAGCCACAAGAGCATTAGTGAGGTCGGGCACTGATGTTGGGCGATTAGGCCTGGTTCGCAGTCGGCGTTCCAATTCATTCCAAAGGTGTTTGATGGGGTTGAGGTCAGGGCTCTGTGCAGGCCAGTCAAGTTCTTCCACAACCATCTCGATAAACCATTTCTGTATGGACCTCGCTTTGTGTACGGGGGCATTGTCATGCTGAAACAGGAAAGGGCCTTCCCCAAACTGTTGCCACAAAGTTGGAAGCACAGAATTGTCTAGAATGTCATTGTATGCTCTAGCGTTAAGATTTTCCTTCCCAAAACAGCACCAGACCATTATTCCTCCTCCACCAAACTTAATAGTTGGCACTATGCATTGGGGCAGGTAGCTTTCTCCTGGCATCCGCCAAACACAGATTAGTCCGTCGGACTGCCAGATGGTGAAGCGTGATTCATCACTCCATAGAACACGTTACCACTGCTCCAGAGTCCAATGGCGGCGAGCTTTACACCACTCCAGCCAATGCTTGGCATTGCGCATGGTGATCTAAGGTTTGTGTGCGGCTACTCGGCCATGGAAACCCATTTCATGAAGCTCCCGACGAACAGTTCTTGTGCTGACGTTGCTTCCAGAGGCAGTATGGAATTCAGTAGAGCACTTACAGAGGCTGTAGCAGAGGAGAGCACTTACAGAGGCTGTAGGAGAGGAGAGCACTTACAGAGGCTGTAGCAGAGGAGAGCACTTACAGAGGCTGTAGCAGAGGAGAGCACTTACAGAGGCTGTAGCAGAGGAGAGCACTTACAGAGGCTGTAGCAGAGGAGAGCACTTACAGAGGCTATAACAGAGCTGGAGGTGCCCTGAGAGACAGCAGAGGCAGTGGTGGTCTTCACATAGAATGTAGCAGAGGGGGTCTGGGAGAAGGACCAGGTGGGCTTCACAGAGGCTGTAGCAGAGGGGGTCTGGGAGAAGGACCAGGTGGGCTTCACAGAGGCTGTAGCAGAGAGGGTCTGGGAAGAAGGACCAGGTGGGCTTCACAGAGGCTGTAGCAGAGGGGGTCTGGGAGAAGGACCAGGTGGGCTTCACAGAGACTGTAGCAGAGGGGGTCTGGGAGAAGGACCAGGTGGGCTTCACAGAGGCTGTAGCAGAGGGGGTCTGGGAGAAGGACCAGGTGGGCTTCACAGAGAATGTAGCAGAGGGGGTCTGGGAGAAGGACCAGGTGGGCTTCACAGAGGCTGTAGCAGAGGGGGTCTGGGAGAAGGACCAGGTGGGCTTCACAGAGGCTGTAGCAGAGGGGGTCTGGGAGAAGGACCAGGTGGGCTTCACAGAGGCTGTAGCAGGGCTGGAGAGGGGCCGGGAGAAAGGGGAAATGGTAAAAGAGTATTATATAATAATATGAAAATTATTTGAGGGTAAACAGTATTAAAAACAAATATATTTAAACAAGCTCTTCACAGGTTAAGCTATATAATATTTACCCGAACAGGCTTCCTAGGCACATCATCCTGAAATGAAAAATAAACATTTTTATATGAATACCGACAATATGGTCATGTGATATTTAAAACATGACACACAATGTAATAGGTAAAATTCCATTTACATACAGCGGTGCAGGGATTGGGGCACTCGCAGACACTGTGTATGGGTGGGGGCACTCACAGAGGCCAGAGGAAGGGTTGGGGCACTCACAGAGGCCAGAGGAAGGGTTGAGGCACTCACAGAGGCCAGAGGAAGGGTTGGGCCACTCACAGAGGCCAGAGGAAGGGTTGAGGCACTCACAGAGGCCAGAGGGAGGGTTGAGGCACTCACAGAGGCCAGAGGAAGGGTTGAGGCACTCACAGAGGCCAGAGGAAGGGTTGGGGCACTCACAGAGGCCAGAGGAAGGGTTGAGGCACTCACAGAGGCCAGAGGAAGGGTTGAGGCACTCACAGAGGCTGTAGACAACTTGGCCGGGCTACGGACATGTTGTGTCTGTAAAATATATGTAGTTGCATTAAGATTATTGAAGGTCATACTGTTATAAAAACAGATCAATACAAATCACGCTTTTGACAGGTTAGCTTGTATTTTATTTACCTGAGCAGGCTTCCTTGCCAAGTTAAAGTTTGGTCTTGCTGCAGACATGAGCCCCCAAAACCTTTGCTTATTGAACTGCAAAAGAGAGAGAAAAACCTAATAGTCACAATGAACGGAGGAGGAAACCAAGTCACCTGTCAAAATGATTATCTGAATCAGTGTTCTCTCATGGCAGCAGAGCCATAGTAGTTGAGGAAAAATAATGTAACAAAAAATGTCATATTTATCATTGACAACAAGTTCAATGCAGTCCTCAATGCAGGAGTCTGAACAGCAGACCCAGACGCTGGTGGAGCTGTAGGTGCTGGCCCAGCAGGTCCACTGGTAGAGACCGGCTTAAAATATAGGGGGGGGGAAATACAGAGACAACACTAGAGTATGGTATCTAATTTCAGTAAATCAGAAAAGAGAATACATGTTGTTTTAGCTTATAAGCTTTATTAGTGTTACCTCCTGGGGGTGAAATCCATAGACACCTCTCTGAAGCTCCCCAAGCAGAGTTGTCCACAGACATACATTGGGCAATTCTCTATCTGTAACAATACATAAGGGACCCTGTGTTAGGAAGTCCCCTGCTGGTGACTTCACCATCTCACAGCACTCACCCCACTACACATCCCCCACACCCGAATCCAGGAGTCAAGGGGTGATGAAACTCTAGCTCTTTCTGGAACTTTCCTTAACCTTTTGTGATTGGTTGAAAAGATCATAGCTTGAGACTTTGACACTGTGTATAGTCTCTATGTTACCATATGACAATTTGATCTCTGAATAAGAGAGATGTGGGGGGCTGCCTTAATCGACATCATCGGTACCCGGGGAGCAGTTGTTGCCTTGCTCAAGACCAGAACGACAGACTTTTCACCTTGGGGATTTGAACCAGCAACCTTTCGGTTACTGGCCCAACACTCTTAACCGCTATGCTACCAGCCACCCCGCATAGGTATATAGGTAATGTGAGCTATGGCTAAACATGTTTATAACAAAGTTAATCCCCTGGATATCAAAGCATTATCTAACTTAGCTGTCATAATAATATAGCTAGCTAGCTACAAAAGCCAGAAGAAGATCAGGTGACTAACTCTGACAGGTCCTCCCATTGAAAGTGAATGCTACTGTAACATCACCAAATTATATGCTTTTTTTCCAGGAGGTTGGCTGAGTCAACCAATAGCGTCACTATAGGCTGTGTCCTTCTTCCAAAGAATGAGAAGCTATACATGATTGGCTTTTGAAACATGGACATGGAGATGGTGGGTGCTTGGACATAGTTGACAGACTAAATTGAATAAAATAGCGCCAAAGCGCCATGCTCATCCAACTGAGCTACAGAGGACCAAGTCAATGTTTTTCCACTTGGAACCGACAGGTTGCTCAACCTTATTCATGGTTTCCTTGTGTGTGAAGGTGGTGGAATTATGAGGGAATTAAGTCAAGGTCAGAATACAGCGTATCTGTAGACACACATCCATTTCTGTGATCTCCACCCCAAATGAATACCTGGCTGACACATGCGTTTCCCCATGCTTAAGTTCAAGGTCAGAATACGTGTAGAGAGAAAAGTGCATTGAAGTGAAATAAGTTATTCCCCCCTTTATGAAAAGATTATGAAAATGATCATGTCATGGATGTGTCTGTTATAGATATGTGTTGTGGTATAATAGCATCGAGGAGTCCATACTAATGTTGAACTTTCCCTCAGCTGTCAAGGAGTGTGACTTTGTGGACCACAGTGGGGCATCTGGTGACACTGAAGAAATAAACGCAGAAGGAAATGTGGAGGGATTGTTGGCTGATTTCAAACTTAACGTGGGCTTAAAATGCTCCAATGAACAAGAGTCGTCCTTTGGCAGACTGAAGAAAGAGGAGGTGGAAGTGAAGGAGTTGGTTAACTACTCGAAAGACATGTGAGTTGCCCTATACTGTAATACACTGAGTGGACAAAACATTAAGAACACGTGCTCTTTCCATGACATAGACTAACCAGGTGAATCCAGGTGAAAGCTATGATTCTTTATTGATGTCACTTGTTAAATCCACTTAAATCAGTGTAAATGAAGGGGAGAAAAACAGGTTAAAGAGGGATTTTTAAGCCTTGAGACAACTGAGACATGGATTGTGTATGTGTGCCATTCAGCGGATGAATGGGCAAGACAAGAAATGTAAGTGCCTTTGAACGGGGTATGGTAGTGTCAGGCGCACCAGTTTGTGTTAAGAACTGCAACACTGCTGGGTTTTTCAAGCTCAACAGTTTCCCGTGTGTATCAAGAATGGTCCACCACCCAAAGGACTTCCAGCCAATTTTATTTTATTTTTATAATATGTTTATTATTTTCCAATAAAAATAAAGTAAAAGAGACAGCAATACAAACAATGACATTCATTGTACTGTTGGATGGGATGGCCAGTTTAGAGGACAAAACAAAAGTTAACTCACACATACACAAAATAAAACAAAATCCTATTAGGTGGTACGTGTATAAGAAGACAGCATATAGTCATTACAAGCAGTGTAGTTCAGCCAAAAATAAATATTGAGTGGAGTACAGCACAGAGTAGCAGCAGATCGTCAGCCCAGTTATGAAGCGGGACTAGACCATTTATCCAGTATCGGCTGCCATATTTTGTAAAACAATGGACTTCTATTGGAGGTGTTGTATCGAATCTTTTCCATATGGATTACATTCCCTAAATCCCGTAACCACATTTCAAAGGTAGGTACAGTCTCCAATTTCCAAAATTGCAATATGAGCCTTTTGGCTAATAGAGTACAAATAGAGACAGCTTTCCCCTCCTGGTTATTCCCATCAACTGTACCAAACAGAGCGATCAATGGGTCTGGGGCTAGAACTCTATCAAAGGCCTTAGATAAGTAATCAAAACTTCCAGCCAATTTAACACAACTGTGGGAAGCATTTGAGTCAACATGGGCCAGCATCCCTGTGGAACGCTTTCGACACCTTGTAGAGTCCATGCCCCGATGAATTGAGGCTGTTCTGAGGGCAAAAGGGGAGGTGCAGCTCAATATTAGTAAGGTTGAAATGTTTTGTACATTCAGCCTGGCCTCAATGACGTAACATAGTAAACGTATATCTGTGACACTCAAATTAGTATGATATGTACGGTTACTTAAGCAAGAGGGAGGGAGATTGGGTGGCGTATAACGCGAATGTCTAGCAACCCAACGGTTGCGTGTTCAAATCACATCACAGACAACTTTAACATTTTTGCAACTGCTTACTGCTTTTTAGCTACTTTACAACTACTTAGCATATTAGCTAACCCTTCTCCTAACCCCTAACCATTTACATTTTAGCCATTTAGCAGACGCTCTTATCCAGAGCGACTTACAGTTAGTGCATACATTATTTTATATTTATCATACTGGCCCCCCGTGGGAATCGAACCCACAACCCTGGCGTTACAAACGCCATGCTCTACCAACTGAGCTACATCCCTGCCAGCCATTCCCTCCCCTACCCTGGACAACTTGTGCACCGCCCCATGGGTCTCCCGGTCACGACAGAGCCTGGATTCAAACCAGGATCTCTAGTGGCACAGCTAGCACTGCGATGCAGTGCATTAGACCACTGCGCCACTCGGGAGTCCTAACCCTAACCTTAACCTCTAACCCTAACCTTAACCCGTAGCGACTAGCTAACATTGCCCATCTAGCTAACGTTAGCCACAACAAAGTGAAATTCCTAACATATCATACGTATTGCAAATTCATAACATATTGTACGAATTGCAATTAGTAACATGTTATACCAATTGTAATTCGTAACATATCATACGAAATGTTGTCATTTAAATTGACAACAAGTTCAATGCAGTCCTCAATGCAGGAGTCTGAACAGCAGACCCAGACGCTGGCGGAGCTGTAGGTGCTGGCCCAGCAGGTCCACTGGTAGAGACCGGCTTAAAATATAGGGGGGGGGGGGGGGGGAATACAGAGACAACACTAGAGTATGGTATCTAATTTCAGTAAATCAGAAAAGAGAAAACATGTTGTTTTAGCTTATAAGCTTTATTAGTGTTACCTCCTGGGGGTGAAATCCATAGACACCTCTCTGAAGGACCTCCCTGAAACCAGTACAGTTCCACAAACACCAATGACACTTTTTATTTAGACACACCAAATGATCAATGAAATCCTAAAATGTTTGACATACTTAAAGGGTGTGATTAGCTAGTAATTCTCTCTGTCTCTCCACTTGAGAGAATGCTGAGTGTCCTTTTATATTTATTTAATTATGGATTTACAAGGGGGTAACACTAATGACATAACACTTAAGGACACATATTATATTTGTAAAAAATAATAATTTAATAGCCTTCTTTGTTTTTATTGATCTATACAATATATGAAATACTTTTATTTACTTTCTATCATTCAAAATAATAGATAGATATCTCTAAATCCCCAAAACATGTCACTACAACTCTACTCATCACTACTGGGACAAGCCCATTTGCTTTCCCTAAGTACTTTAAAGAATGCATAAAAATAATGTTTTGCAGTATAAAGGACTTACATTATGTTTTCACATTGATAAACAGTTCAATATCAACTAAAACATGTATAATGTCTAACTATTTGTAATTTTAGGGTTGTATTCAATCCGCATCACAGAAATGCAGCTTCAAAGCGTGATTGAAATGTAAAGACATTGTTTTATTTTACCCTAATTTACCAGGACTTGGCAGAAACTGCATTCACGGTAAACGCTGGATATATCGGCTCAAACGGAAATTACCTTTCAATTTATTTAGCGGAATCCGTAACGCTTCAGTGTTACAGATTGAAGAGAGCCCTTAAAGTGTTTTTCATGGTTGCAAAGGCGAGGGACGCAAAAGCCAATGCAGTTCAAGAATGACCCTCTAGAAAGAAGCCTAACTATAACACTTAGCAGACGCTTTTATCCAAAGCAACTTACAGTCATGCGTGCATACATTTTTGTGTATGGGTGGTCCCGGGGATCGAACCAACTACCTTGGCGTTACAAGCGCCGTGCTCTACCAGCTGAGCTACAGAGGACCACTAACACCTTTAAATAATATTTGCTCGCCCACTCTATATTTTGTATAATTTATCTGGGTCCCTCCTGCAGACGTCTGGAAATGACCCACCCTGTGATCAAGCAGACCCGGGAGAAGCCCAGGGCAATATTAGGGGTGTTGATGGAGAGGATTATGACATCACAACCTTGCCCCGTCACAACCAAAGTCCGGAAGCGCGGCAATGTAGAAGCCAACGTGAGCACCTGTGTGGCCCTGAGAGAGAAGGTAGGAGGAAAGATTAACAAGCGTTCTACTGAAATGAATGATGTTTTCATCATATTTTCATGAGTGGAAAAACATAATAATGTATAACTGACAACTCAGATTTAGATGATCTCTGTTGTAAAATAGATTTTTAATCTCAATAATCTCACTTTATGATAGCTAGGCCTACATAAATAATGTAAATGTCAAGACCATATTGACAGATCACAGATGTCTGTTCAGTAGTGGTAATACTCACAGATGTCTGTTCAGTAGTGGTAAATGCTGTAGCCCTGGTTTCCCACATAGATCATTTCCTGTTTTTGTCATTAGATCCACTTCCTGAAAATGAAATAGTGTAGTAGAGGTGACTGTCTGGGTTAGAATCTGGGTCGTCTGTGCACCAAACGTCTCTGACTGATTTGACATTTTCTCCACAGGCCTCTATGAAGCAGAGCGGCAGTACTCAGACAGATAGTGATGTGTCACTGGTTATTCCTGCGAATACTGTCGTGGCCTACAGTCTGATTGAACTCTTTGTCAAATGCAATGGACAGTTTGGTGAGGAAGTGTATGGTTAATCAAGTGCAATGTCCCAGGTATAGCTGCATGGTTAAGTACCATGGTAAAGTACACAGCTAGCTTATGTTCCTCAGTGTGTATGTGGTACAGCCACTGTATCTGTCTGTGTGTGACTGGTTATGGCTGTTGTCTGCTCTTGTCCACAGAGCTGTGCCTCTTCTCCAACAAAGGGGGCTTTGAAAAGGTTAGGTCAAATTATGAGTTTGAAGAGGATGGAATTATGGACCTGGTGTGTGACTTTGATGCCAACAGCCCCCTAAATCTGAAGAAAGGTAATAATGCCAGTGGAGGCTAATGTCTCCTGTCTAGTGGTCAACATGCAGTCTACTGAATGGATCATCTGGTCAACATGTAATGAAGTCTACTGAATGGAACGTCTGGTCAACATGTAATGTAGTCTACTGAATGGAACGTCTGTTCAATATACCACACTTTTGGTATATAAAAAAACATTAATCACACTTTGACAAAGTAACATGGTTTGTCTGTTGTTTTTGTGTTGACAGAACTGGAGAAACTGAGTAGTCATTTCCAGCTGCTGTCAGTCCTGCCAGCGGCCACACGCTCCTCTCTGCTCCAGCTCCTCAAGACAACCATGGAGGATGGAGAGGCAGTCAGTGTGCTGGAGAGTGTGGTGAGTGGGATGTACAGAAACACGGGCCAAACACACACACACACACACACACACACACACACACACACACACACACACAACTAATGGCAGGAATGAATATATCAACCAGAATATCTGTAACATACTCTCGCTCTTAAATGTACTCTCTCTCACTCTTCTCCCTCTCTCCTCTCTCTCTCTCCTCTCTCTCTCTCTCTCCCCTATCTCTGTCTCTCTGTCTACAGCTGGATCGGACGTGTGATGGTGAGACTCCTGACCTGGGTGATCTGGAAGAGTCTGAGAGGGAGACAGTCCAGGCCATACTGGATCTTGTAGACCAATGTGTTGGGGAGGATGAGATCAGATCCTCACTTCTCACTGCCATCCACCTCATTGTCAGTGCCATGGACGGTGAGATAGAGAGCAGTTTCCACAGGATTCTGTGTTATTATTTGATCAGTTACTGGGAAACTAGGTTCACTACTGTGGTTTTATATGTGTGCATATTTATTTCTTCAGGAATGACAGATGAGGGTCTCTCTGTGTTGGGATCCTGTTGCAGTCCTCCAGTCTTACAGGCCCTGCAGATCCTGGTGAGTTCACACCTGCTTGATTGAGCCTCCAATCCTGTATGGACTGGACTTCATTTTTCTACATTTTTGTTTATGTAAATGTATTTGGGTATATCTTCCCATTCTAAATAAACTAATATTTCTACCATTATGATAACATTGTGCCACCAGTAGAGGTAGTAACACCGATGATAGTAACCAGTGCCATTTTTAACAAAAATATTGGTGGGGCAAACTCAATGAAAAAAGTGAATATGAATCGATACATTACTACACTACACTAACCATAGAATGCACAATCATAAATAATTACCACTCACAGAAATGAGTTTAGAGCCACACACACAAACGTTCTAACATATGGGTTATGATCAGTTTATAGGCTACTTTCCCATATCTTTGGCTCTCATTGCACGGAAGACCACGGTAGTCCAGCATACTTTTATAGAGTAAAGTACATTTTACTTCAGAATCAATATCAGCATTGGTCTGCAATATTGCTAATCATTGTAACACCATTCTGAGTGTAGTTGCATCTGCCTGTTAACAAGATGCTCCGGTTATGAATAAAGCAACAACGTTTATAAAGCTACTCCCTCGCTTCAACCATTGCATAGAAACAGTTCAATGGGTTATTAAATTCTGACATCAATCATTAACAACACGTTGTAGCTAGCTAGCTGTTAGCCACCACAAGTTCTCTCCAAACCACTCAGGTTGAATTATTTTCTAACTTGCTTTATTTTAATGGAGGCCTGTTCATTGGCTGATGAGCACCAATATGTCTTATCTCTACATTTACTTTATTACGCAAAGTTTGAACATGATTTGCTAGGAGATAGTTGACATGATTCATGAAGACTTTTCAGCTAGCTAGCTAGAAGACGATAAACAATTATGAAATTGACACATCAGTCCAATCAAAGCTACCGGAGATAAGACGTCGATTTATCTGTGGCAAATGACATCAAGCCTTCTTGGGCGGGCACTACTAATGAATCTCTATGGCAGCACCCAAGTGGGCAACCGCTGCCTGAGTCTCCCAGTACATGCTGTTGCACTGTCCCAATGAATTCACTCACCCATCTGAACCTTTGAGAATGTGCCAATCATGTGCAGCCAATTGTGCGCAACCAGAGAAGATCAATGAGGGCTTTCCCCTGGCTGGCCTCTCCACAACATTTCACTGAAGGAGGCTGAAACAGCTGCATTAGGGAGCTGTCTTACTCAATGAAAATTGACCAAAATAACAATACAACCGGGAAGCGAGGACGTATGCTTTATTAGCTCAAGCAAATCAAATGTGTTAGCTTACTGATATAATATCATGTTGTGACATGAATGAAAGCCAGAATTACATGCAAAACATCGCCATCTCCTGGATAGTTGTGGGACTGCCCTAAATGACGTGTCGCCACTGACAGTAACACCAATGACACATTTAAGTAAATTAGGTTTTTCTTAAATGGAGGCCACCCATCTCAAATCTAAGGTCATTTAACCTTTAGTAAATTATTAAGTAAATTATTTTTAAAGAGATTTGATTCATCATTTTGCTCAGAGTGTAATTTCCCTTCATTTCAATTGAGTTACACCAATTACACTTTTTATTTAAACACACCAAATAATCAATGGAATCATTATATTTATGACATACTAAAAGGGTGTGATTAGCAAATAATTGTATTTAATATAGACCCCTACCCTAATAACAGTTTGCCACTGGAAGGAATGCTCAAGGTCATTGTATATCTTTGTAATGAGTGATTTACAAGGCGGTAACACTAATGATATTAAATATGTTTATTTTATAGCATTCAAATAATCTAAATCCCCAAAACATGTCACTACCACTCTACTCATCACTACTGGGACAAGCCAATTTGCTTTCACTAAGTACTTTAAACAATGCATAAAAATAAAGTTTTGCAGTATAAAGGACTAATTGTCATTTTAAAGTGTTTTTCATTGTTGCAAAGTCGAAGGATGCAAATGCCACCTTAATTCAAGAATGACCCAGAAAATAAAGCATATAAATGTTATTCCTGTGCTGCTTGTCCTCCAGGTGCAGCATGTGGCAGCAGGGAGTGGGGAGACCCTCTCTCTGAGAGATGCAGGTCTGGCTGTTCTAACTGAGGAGGAGGTGTTTGGGAGGACAGAGAGTCTCTTTGGTCACTCTAAAGTTACACTGAAGAGAGAGGAGGACACACTGAGGACAGAGATGAAGGACCAGCCTGGATACCTTCCTCTTGTCATGAGTATCACTGTGAAAGGCCTGGCTTCTTTAGTGTAAGCTGAGAGAGAGTGAGTGAGTGAGCTAGAAAATCATGTTTGAACTGATACACTCACGATTCCATTCCATGTTTTACTCTTGCACTAGTTGAGCTAAAGAACTAGTGAACAACAATGTATGTATCCTTGTAATGCTTTCAGTAAAGTTCAACAAACATCCCCAATGCTCAATATGTGGAGTCAGTATGATGGTCCATTCCTGTGATGTCTGTGAGATTCACAATATACATTTTGTCATCAGAAACCTTATGCTGTGTGTGTGTGTGTGTGTGTGTGTGTGTGTGTGTGTGTGTGTGTGTGTGTGAGAGAGAGAGAGGGTGTGTGTGGGTATGTGTATGTGTATATGAATGGGAGAGTGAAGGAGGGTGAATATTAATATGTGTAGGAGGGCAGAGAGAATGGGTGTGTGGAGGAATAGTGTATATGTTGTGTGAATGAAGGAGAATGGATGAGGACGTAGATGTATAGAGGGTGTAAATGTGTCTGAGAAGAAGGGAGGGGGAAAAATATTTAGATGGTGATAAACTGGGTCTGGTGGGTAAGACAGGACAAGGAGGGGAGGTGGTGATAAACTGGGTCTGGTGGGTAAGACAGGACAAGGAGGGGAGGTGGTGATGAACTGGGTCTGGTGGGTAAGACAGGACAAGGAGGGGAGGTGGTGATGAACTGGGTCTGGTGGGTAAGACAGGACAAGGAGGGGAGGTGGTGATGAACTGGGTCTGGTGCGTAAGACAGGACAAGGAGGGGAGGTGGTGATGAACTGGGTTGGGGAGGCAAGGAGGATTAAAGATGGGAGGGTGGGACAAGCTTGGCTTTGGTGGCCAAGATGGAGGAAAGATGGGAGGGTGGGACAAGCTTGGCTTTGGTGGCCAAGGGGGAGTAAAGATGGGAGAGTGGGACAAGCTTGGCTTTGGTGGCCAAGATGGAGTAAAGATGGGAGGGTGGGACAAGCTTGGCTTTGGTGGCCAAGATGGAGTAAAGATGGGAGGGTGGGACAAGCTTGGCTTTGGTGGCCAAGGGGGAGTAAAGATGGAAGGTGGGGTTAAGCTTGGCTTGGGTGGCCAAGGGGGAGTAAAGATGGAAGATGGGGTTAAGCTTGGCTTGGGTGGCCAAGGGGGAGTAAAGATGAGAGGGTGGGACAATCTTGGCTTTGGTGGCCAAGGGGGAGTAAAGATGGAAGGTGGGGTTAAGCTTGGCTTGGGTGGCCAAGGGGGAGTAAAGATGAGAGGGTGGGACAATCTTGGCTTTGGTGGCCAAGGGGGAGTAAAGATGGGAGGTGGGGTTAAGCTTGGCTTTGGTGGGGTAAAGGGGGGAGAACAGGGAGGGGGTGGTGGAGAGGGATGGATTTGGTTTGGGAGAGAGAGAAGGAAGGAAGGACTTAATTATACTACGATGTAATTTAAATCCATTACAAAATTAATAGGAGTTCTGGACAGATTAGGAAAGGATGTTGAATATTTATTATTCCTTGTTTGTCATTACAACTAAGATTTAATGGTGGTTATTGGTGAGAATGGAGAGGGGCTATATCCGGGGGATTGGGATGGGGTGACTGGGAGGGCATCAGACATTTCCCTGAGGTGTGCGTGGGGCCTCCACTCATCCCATTTCAGTCTCTCGGAGGACCCACTCACCCCAAGTAGTCCTCCACCAGCCACTATACTTTAATTGAAAATTATAAGGTAATACAAACTGACCACAGTACTTAGGTGGAAGTTTTTCTTCAAATGTATCCACTGTTTTTTTGTTGTTGGTACATTAGGAGAGGAGTTGGAGCTAAAAAGCCCTAAAAAGGCGCTTCAAGTACAAAGACTTTCTTTGGTTTGTTATTTATAATTGTATTTCTTTGCCCACATGTTCTATACAGTCCTTTCAGAAAGTATTCAGACCCCTTGACTTTTTCCACATTTTGTTACGTTACAGCCTTATTCTAGAATGGATTAAATAAAAAAATGTCCTTATCAATCTACACACAATACCCCATAATGACAAAGCGAAAACAGGTTTTTAGAAATTTTAGCAAATGTATTAAAAATAAAAAACAGAAATACCTTATTTACATCAGTATTCAGACCCTTTGCTATGAGACTCAAAATTTAGCTCAGGTGTATCCTGTTTCCATTGATCATCCTTCAGATGTTTCTACAACTTGATTGGAGTGCACCTGTGGTAAATTCAATTGATTGGATATGATTTGGAAAGGCACACACCTATCTATATAAAGGTCCCACAGTTGAGAGTGCATGTCAGAGCAAAAACCAAGCCATGAGGTTGACGGAATTGTCAGTAGAGCTCAGAGACAGGATTGTGTCGAGGCACAGATCTGAGGAAGGGTACCAAAACATTTCTGCAGCATTGAAGGTCCCCAAGAACACAGTGGCCTTCATCATTCTTAAATGGAAGAAGTTTGGAACCACCAAGACTCTTCCTAGAACTGGCCTCCCGAACAAACTGAGCAATTGGGGGAGAAGGGCCTTGGTCAGGGAGGTGACCAAGAACCCGATGTTCACTCTGACCGAGCTCCAGAGTTCCTCTGTGGAGATGGGAGAACCTTCCAGAAGGACAACCATCTCTGCAGCACTCCACCAATCAGGCCTTTATGGTAGAATGGCCAGACGGAAGCCACTCCTCAGTAAAAGGCACATGACAGCCCGCTTGGAGTTTGCCAAAAGGCACCTAAAAGACTCTCAGACCATGTGAAACAAGGTTCTTTGGTCTGACGAAACCAACATTGAACTCTTTGGCCTGAATACCAAGCGTCACCTCTGAAGGCAGGGACTGGGAGAGTAGTCAGGGTTGAGGGAAAGATTAACGGAGCAAAGTACAGAGAGATCCTTGATGAAAACCTGCTCAGGACCTCAGACTGGGGTGAAGGTTCACCTTCCAAGAGGACAACGATCCTAAGCACACAGCCAAGACAACACAGGAGTGGCTTCGGGACAAGTCTCTGAATGTCCTTGAGTGGCCCAGCCAGAGACCGGACTTGAACCCAATTGAACATCTCTGGACAGAGCTTAAGAGGATCTGCAGAGAAGAATGGGAGAAACTCCCCAAATACAGGTGTGCCAAGCTTGTAGCGTCATACCCAAGGAGACTCAAGGCTATAATCATTGCCAAAGGTGCTTCAACAAAGTACTGAGTAAAGGGTCTGAATTCCTATGTAAATGTGATATTTCAGTTTTTTATTTGTAATACATTTGCATTTAGAATGCATTTGAAACTTCACGCACAGTGAAGAGTTTGGTGTTTGACTGAGAAGGGTGCAATTGCAGTCCGCAAAACGGGGCATTCCTCCATGTGGGCATTCCTGCATCTGCAGGAACCAAACGCCACATGAAGGAACCAATGGGATGCTTGAGGGGGGGGGGCGAGCCCACATGGGATGCCCACATGCAGGAACGCCCCAAATTGCAACAATCACATGCTATTGGAGAGACTAGCCATGTGCAACATGCAATCACAGATACAAGCCTGCTAGAGTTAGCAGCAGGTGGACGAGCAATATGCACTGTCATAGTACAAATGAAGCCTGAGCTGGAATGTGAAGCTAACTGAAGCTGGTTAGCTTTAGAAAACCCTGAGTAGAACTAGCTTGCTTCGTAGGATACCCCTCTGGTGTGCAACCTGCAGCAGCCTATCATTTTAACTGAGGTGTTTACCTGGGGTTAACGGTCGGTATGTCTCCAGTCAGCACATCACTGAGAGTAAAGTAAGTGGGCAGGTATATGGGTTTCTGCCAGATCCAGAAACGCTTGCGTTTGACAACCAATGAGAGGGGGACCAGTTTGTCTGAGTCAATCAGACTGGACACAGGGATCAGGCTCCCATCATTATCAGCAAACATCATCATAACAAACATCGTCAATGGGAGACAGACACAGAAATGGTCGAGGATGATGTCTCTGTTTGCAACTGATAACACAAATACGACAAGAACATCAGATGAAAAATACAAAAACATATATATAAACAAGTACACGTTAAAGCCATAGCTAATGACCTGAGTTGCACACTGGATAGGTTCAGAAATCAGTGCTAGGAGCCTAGCTATACAGACTAATCAAAAATACTGTGGTTCTTATTCGTAAACGTTCAGACGTCTATGCATTCATAATTCACTGTATCAGCCGCTACCCGTAGGCTGTATTCAAATCAAATTTTATTTGTCACATACACGTGTTTAGCAGATGTTATAGCGGGTGTAGCGAAATGCTTGTGCTTTTAGCTCCGACAGTGCAGTAATATCTAACAAGTAATATCTAACAATTTCACAACATAAACCCAATACACACAAAACTAGTAAGGAATGGAATTTAAGAAAATATACATATATGGACAAGCAATGACAGAGCGGCATGGACTAAGATACAGTAGAATATTATAGAATAGAATGCAGTATATACGTATGAGATGAGTAGTGCAAGATATGTAAACATTATTAAAGTGACTGTAAACATTATTAAAGTGACTAGTGTTCCATTTCTTATTCATGTCACACCCAGATTTGTTTCACCTGTCTTGTGCTTGTCTCCACCCCCTCCAAGTGTTGCCCATTTTCCCCATTATCCCCCGTGCATTTATACCTGTGTTTTCTGTTTGTTTGTTGTCAGTTCGTCTTGTCTCGTCAAACTACCAGCGTGTTTTTCCATACTGCTGTTCTCTTTAGTCCCTGTTCTCTTCAAAAATACTGTGGTTCTTATTCGTAAACATTCAGACGTCTATGCATTCATAATTCACTGTATCAGCCGCTACCCGTAGGCTATATTCAAATCAAATCAAATTTTTTTTTTTTCTCTTCAGTCCCTGTTCTCTTTAGTCCCTGTTTTCTAGTTCTAGTTTTGACCATTCTGCCCTGAACCTGAGCCTGCCTGCCATGCTGTACCTTTTGACACTGCCCTGGATTACCGACCTCTGCATGCCCTTGACCTTGTCGTTTGCTTGCCCCCTGTTTTGTAAATAAACTTCTGTGATTCAAACTGTCTGCAACCTGGGTCTTATCCTGAGTTCTGATCCTGATCCTGAGTTCCAAGGAGCCACCATTGGGAGACGTGGAGTTCCTTAGAGGTCTTCTGGAAGGATTCCAGAGTCAGGAACCAGCCGGGCGTTTCTCTCCCAGTGTTCCCTCATCTTTGAGCTGCAACTTTGTCCAAGTGCTGAGCCTGGTTGATAAGCACATCATGGTGCTGCCAATTAAGGTGCTTGTCAGTCCGTGTCCCAGGTGGCAAGCCGTGAGGCTGCTGGGTTTGTTTGGTGGACATATTTATGTTTCATCACCATATGAAAAAAATAATGATGCACTTGGACTGGCAGACCAAGTGGTCAAGACTGAGATGGCCCTGAACTCTGTAAGTCGCTGTCTCCTGGGCAAATGTGCATCCAACATTGTCCTCAAACGCTAATTTCTCAAATAAATGCACACATTCATTCAGGTTACAGACCATGTAACTAGGACTAAGGCCCCTAGACATAATGAGTCAGGTTCCAGACCATGTAACTAGGACTAAGGCCCCTAGACATAATGAGTCAGGTTCCAGACCATGTAACCAGGACTAAGGCCCCTAGACATAATGAGTCAGGTTCCAGACCATGTAACCAGGACTAAGGCCCCTAGACATAATGAGTCAGGTTATAGACCAGGTAACCAGGACTAAGACCCCCTAGACATAATGAGTCAGGTTATAGACCATGTAACCAGGACTAAGACCCCCTAGACATAATGAGTCAGGTTATAGACCAGGTAACCAGGACTAAGACCCCCTAGACATAATGAGTCAGGTTATAGACCATGTAACTAGGACTAAGACCCCTAGACATAATGAGTCAGGTTACAGACCATGTAACCAGGACTAAGGCCCCTAGACATAATGAGTCAGGTTATAGACCATGTAACTAGGACTAAGACCCCCTAGACATAATGAGTCAGGTTATAGACCATGTAACCAGGACTAGGACCCCCTAGACATAATGAGTCAGGTTATAGACCATGTAACCAGGACTAAGGCCCCCTAGACATAATGAGTCAGGTTATAGACCATGTAACCAGGACTAAGACCCCCTAGACATAATGAGTCAGGTTATAGACCAGGTAACTAGGACTAAGACCCCTAGACATAATGAGTCAGGTTCCAGACCATGTAACTAGGCCTAAGACCCCCTAGACATAATGAGTCAGGTTATAGACCAGGTAACTAGGACTAAGACCCCCTAGACATAATGAGTCAGGTTATAGACCATGTAACCAGGACTAAGACCCCCTAGACATAATGAGTCAGGTTACAGACCATGTAGCCAGGACTAAGACCCCCTAGACATAATGAGTCAGGTTATAGACCATGTAACTAGGACTAAGACCCCCTAGACATAATGAGTCAGGTTCCAGACCATGTAACCAGGACTAAGACCCCTAGACATAATGAGTCAGGTTATAGACCATGTAACTAGGACTAAGACCCCCTAGACATAATGAGTCAGGTTATAGACCAGGTAACTAGGACTAAGACCCCTAGACAAAGACAGTGCAACAATATCTGTAGGCTGGTTATAGGTTTCCTAACACTACATAAAAAAAACATTAATACAACAATAAGCTATGCAAGTGACTCAGCAAATAGCCTTGTCATTTTTGAATTTTGTAAGCTTTTTGAATGGTCTTCAATGGGCCAAAACATAGCACAATGGTCTTCAATGGGCCAAAACATAGCACAGTGGTCTTCAATGGGCCAAAACGTAGGGCAATGGTCTTCAGCGCAGTAACTTCATGAAAGACATATGGCAGCAGTAAATACAACTGCGTTTTGATGAAAAGCCATTAACACGGAAGTATGACATAGGAATGTGTCATTAATTAATGTACAGTAGTGGGAATTTATGCATTGGTTTATTCATATTGTTATATACATTTTTCTTCACAGACTATCTTATTTTTGATATTTTTTACTCCTGCTCCAAGTCTCTTTGCAATCGTCAACAATATGTTATAAAATGTGACATTTCTGAAATTCACCCCTGGCGGTGCAGTTCCTATATCCCCTATGCAGCACAAGGAATAGTTTTATTCAGCTAAATCAATCCTAAAGAGGCCAAGCCGTTCACAGCGATACTCGTGACAAGAGGAAGTTGTCCAGGAGAGATAATTGAAGTCATTGTGAACTCTGCGTCCGTGTTCAATCTTGCAAGTTCCACATTGGAGAGGGCAAAGAGACTCTCTGTCCTCCCAAACACCTCCTCCTCAGTCAGAACAGCCAGACCTGCATCTCTCAGAGAGAGGGTCTCCCCACTCCCTGCTGCCAAATGCTGCACCTGGAGGACAAGCAGCACAGGAAGAAGCTTACATGCACTCTTTTATAAATGGCCATACAGGACTAGAGGCTCAATCAAGCAGGTGTGAACTCACCAGGATCTGCAGGGCCTGTAAGATTGGAGGACTGCAACAGGATCCCAACACAGAGAGACCCTCATCTGTCATTCCTGAAGAAATAAATATGCACACATATAAAACCACAGTAGTGAACCTAGTTTCCCAGTACCTGATCAAATAATAACACAGAATCCTGTGGAAACTGCTCTCTATCTCACCGTCCATGGCACTGACAATGAGGTGGATGGCAGTGAGAAGTGAGGATCTGATCTCATCCTCCCCAACACATTGGTCTACAACATCCAGTATGGCCTGGACTGTCTCCCTCTCAGACTCTTCCAGATCACCCAGGTCAGGAGTCTCACCATCAGACGTCTGATCCAGCTGTGACCAGAGAGAGAGAGAGAGAGACAGAGATAGGGGAGAGGGAGAGAGAGAGAGAGAGAGAGAGAGAGAGAGAGAGAGAGAGAGAGAGAAAGAGAGACTCTCTCTCTCTCTCTCTCTCTCTCTCTCTTCTCTCTCTTCTCTCTTCTCTCGCTCTCTTCCTCTCCTCTCTCTCTTCTCCTCTCTCTCTCTCTCTCTCTCTCTCCTCTCTCTCTCTTTTCCTCTCTCTCTGGCAAGACGGGACCAGGCAAGAAGCGGCCCGTCTATCCCATCAAAAGGAACTAAAATTCGACATACCAATTAGGATCTGGCTAAAAACTCTTGAATCAGTTATAGAACCCATTGCCCTTTATGGTTATGAGGTCTGAGGTCCACCTCACCAACCAAGAATTCACAAAATGGGACAAACTGAGACTCTGCATGCAGAATTCTGCAAAAATATCATGCCGATACCCGCTAATTATCAAAATCCAGAAAAGAGCCGTTAAATTCAACCACCTAAAAGGAAGCGATTCCCAAACCTTCCATAACAAAGCCATCACCTACAGAGAGATTAACCTGGAGAAGAGTCCCCTAAGTAAGCTGGTCCTGGGGCTCTGTTCACAAACACAAACAGACCCCACAGAGCCCCAGGACAGCAACATAATTAGACCCAACCAAATCATGAGAAAACAAAAATATAATTACTTAACTCGATGGAAAGAATTAACAAAAAGACTAGAATGCTATTCGGCCCTAAATAGAGAGTACACAGTGGCTGAATATTTAACCACTGTGACTGACACAAAATTAAGGAAAGCTTTGACTGTGTACAGACTCAGTGAGCATAGCCCTGCTATTGAGAAAGGCCACCCGAAGGCAGGCCTAGCTCTCAAGAGAAGACAGGCTATGTGCACACTGCCCACAAAATGAGGTGGAAACTGAGCTGCACTTCCTAAACTCCTGCCAAATGTATGACCAAATTAGAGACACATACTTCCCTCAGATTACACAGACCCACAAAGAATTCGAAAACAAATCCAATTTGGATAAACTCCCATATTTATTGGGTAAAATACCACAGTGTGCAATCATAGGAGCAATATTTGTGACCTGTTGCCACAAGAAAAGGGCAACCAGTGAAGAACAATCACCATATTTATGTTTATTTATTTTCCCTTTTGTACTTTAACTATTTGCACATCATTACAATACTGTATATACGTTTGAAATGTCTTTATTATTTTGAAACTTTTGTGAGCGTAATGTTTACTGTTCATTTTTTATTGTTTATTTCACTTTTGTTTATTATCTATTTCACTTGCTTTGACAATGTAAACATATGTTTCCCATGCCAAGAGAGAGAGTATATTTAAAACAGAGAGTGTGTTACAGATATTCTGGTTGATATATTCATTCCTGCCATTAGTTGTGTGTGTGTGTGTTTGGCCCGTGTTTCTGTACGTCCCACTCACCACACTCTCCAGCACACTGACTGCCTCTCCATCCTCCATGGTTGTCTTGAGGAGCTGCAGCAGAGAGGAACGTGTGGCCGCTGGCAGGGCTGACAGCAGCTGGAAATGACTACTCAGTTTCTCCAGTTCTGTCAACACAAAAACAACATGGAGACCATTTTGTCAAAGTGTGGTATTTTCATGCAAGAAATCAATTAATTGTTATATATTACAAAAGTGTGGTAACTTTGTAATTACTAATCAAAGAGAAATGTTGAACATTCCATTCAGTAGACTACATGTTGACCAAACGTTCCATTCAGTAGACTACATTACATGTTGACCAGACGTTCCATTCAGTAGACTACATTACATGTTGACCAAACGTTCCATTCAGTAGACTACATTACATGTTGACCAAACGTTCCATTCAGTAGACTACATTACATGTTGACCAGACGTTCCATTCAGTAGACTACATTACATGTTGACCAGACGTTCCATTCAGTAGACTACATTAAATGTTGACCAGACGTTCCATTCAGTAGACTACATTACATGTTGACCAAACGTTCCATTCAGTAGACTACATTACATGTTGACCAGATGATCCATTCAGTAGACTACATTACATGTTGACCAGACGTTCCATTCAGTAGACTACATTACATGTTGACCAGACGTTCCATTCAGTAGACTACATTACATGTTGACCAGACGTTCCATTCAGTAGACTACATTACATGTTGACCAGACGTTCCATTCAGTAGACTACATTACATGTTGACCAAACGTTCCATTCAGTAGACTACATTACATGTTGACCAAACGTTCCATTCAGTAGACTGCATGTTGACCACTAGACAGGAGACATTAGCCTCCATTGGCATTATTACCTTTCTTCAGATTTAGGGGGCTGTTGGCATCAAAGTCACATACCAGGTCCATAATTCCATCTACTTCAAACCCATCCTTTGACTTATCCATTTCAAAGCCCCCTTTGTTGCAGATGAGGCACAGCTCTGTGGACAAGAGCAGACAACAGCCATAACCAGTCACACACAGACAGATACAGTGGCTGTACTAAATACACTGAGGAACATAGAAGCTGGCGGTGTACTTTACCATGGTACTTAACCATGCAGCTATACCTGGGACATTGCAATTGAAAAACCATACACTTCCTCACCAAACTGTCCATTGCATTTGACAAAGAGTTCAATCAGACTGTAGGCCATGACAGTATTTGCAGGAATAACCAGTGACACATCACTCTCTGTCTGAGTACTGCCGCTCTGCTTCATAGAGGCCTGTGGAGAAAATGTCAAATCAGTCAGAGACGTTTGGTGCACAGACGACCCAGATTCTAACCCAGACAGTCACCTCTACTACACCATTTCATTTTCAGGAAGTAGATCTAATGACAAAAACAGGAAATGATCTATGTGGGAAACCAGGGCTACAGCATTTACCACTACTGAACAGACATCTGTGAGTATTACCACTACTGAACAGACATCTGTGAGTATTACCACTACTGAACAGACATCTGTGAGTATTACCACTACTGAACAGACATCTGTGACTATTACCACTACTGGACAGACATCTGTGAGTATTACCACTACTGAACAGACATCTGTGACTATTACCACTACTGAACAGACATCTGTAGGTATTATCACTACTGAACAGACATCTGTGAGTATTACCACTACTGAACAGACATCTGTGGGTATTATCACTACTGAACAGACATCTGTGGGTATTATCACTACTGAACAGACATCTGTGGGTATTATCACTACTAAACAGACATCTGTGAGTATTACCACTATTGAACAGACATCTGTGGGTATTATCACTACTGAACAGACATCTGTGAGTATTACCACTACTGAACAGACATCTGTGGGTATTATCACTACTGAACAGACATCTGTGGGTATTATCACTACTGAACAGACATCTGTGGGTATTATCACTACTAAACAGACTGTGAGTATTACCACTATTGAACAGACATCTGTGGGTATTATCACTATTGAACAGACATCTGTGATCTGTCAATATGGTCTTGACATCTACATTATTTATGTAGGCCTAGCTATCATAAAGTGAGATTATTGAGATTTAAAATCTATTTTACAACAGAGATCATCTAAATCTGAGTTGTCAGTTATACATTATTATGTTTTTCCACTCATGAAAATATGATGAAAACATCATTCATTTCAGTAGAACGCTTGTTAATCTTTCCTCCTACCTTCCCTCTCAGGGCCAACACAGGTGCTCACGTTGGCTCCTACATTGCCGCGCTTCCGGACTTTGGTTGTGACCGGGCAAGGTTGTGATGTCATAATCCTCTCTGTCAAGACGCCTAACACTGCCCTGGGATTCACACGGGTCTGCTTGATCACAGGATGTGACATGTCCAGAACTCTGCAGGAGGGGCCCATTATACAGTACGTCAGATTTCATAGAAATCTAGAAACACTGGAAAGATACTTTAAAAGTAAAAAAATTGATGTACCAATAACAGATTGTTCCTTTAAGCTAAACTAATAGTGAAAACAGTTCGTTTTCAGTTAACTTCCTTAAAGTTTAACAACTTTAAGGAAGTTGTTAAACCAGTACAGTTCCACTTATTTGTTATCTGAAAGTACTTAAACCAGAAAATGTCATTTTTACATAAAAGATACTTGTCTGATGTCATTGCAACCATTGTTGCCCGCTGGTCTTGGGTCTAAAAATTGTCTCCTTGGGAAGGTGAACTGTATGATGTATTATGACTGTATATGACTGTATTGAACATACGTCCAGTATAGGGTAACTCACCTGTCTTTTGAGTAGTTATATAACTCCTTCACATCAACCTTCTCTTTGTTCAGGCTGCCAAGGGACAGCTTCTGTTTGGTGGACCATTTCCCTCCCACGGTATGTTTGAAACCAGCCACCTTTGCCTGCACGTTTCCGTCTGCGTTCATTTCTTTCTTGTCACCAAATGTCCCACTGTAGTCCACAAAGTCACACTCCTTGACAGCTGAAGGAACATTCAACATTAGAAAGGACTCTTCTATGTTATTATACCACAACATATATATATATATAACAGCTACATCCACAACCCGATCATTTTCATAATCTATTCAGAAAGACAAGAGTAGGATAAATAATGAAAATCAATGGTCAGATATCTTAGAACAACAACAACCCATAGTTATTCTTCACTAATGGGCTGCTCTGGTGCTTACTTGGGCTTAAAGGTGAGTCTCCAGGCTCTCTTGGCTTCAAGACATCACTGAGGGTAAAGCCAGGGGACTGGTATTTGGGTTTCTGCCAGAAGCATCTGGGCCTGGTCTTGACAATGAGTGATCGGAGATTCAGTTTGTCTGTGTCGTTCAGACTGGACACAGGGATAAGGCGTCCATTATGATCTGTGTCCTTCACGAAGGCTTTTGTGGCTTTGGAAAACATCTGAGAGATGGTTGTGGATCGTGTTTCTGGCTGCAGCAGACACAAATGAGAAATACATTTAATAAACAAAACTAGGTTTAAAACATGAACACTCATTCAATACAACAGCTTCTGAGGAGCATTCAAAACACATTTCACACACATGAAAGATGGCAAGACACTCAAAAATGCAAACACAATCTTTTTGAAAGGTTCACTTTCCAGTGAAAAATAGTTTATCAGATCAGAGTAGCAAACAGGAAATACACCAAAATGTTGGTTGTGTATCATTCAAGACTATCCAAAGCATGCTGTATATTTTCCTAAATTGTTTTCATTTCAACAATCTGCAAGAGCTTCAATACCAGGTTCTCACGAATTCTTCCTCTGGGTCCTTATGACTCTGACAGGTTGTGGAGATTTGCTCTTAAGAATGAGATACTAGTATGTCTGAAATGCATTAGCTAAGAGTTCATTACATAGTAGTAGGAGGAGTCTCTATCTTATCTCCTCCTTGGGGAACTTTCCTCTTCCACACCTGCTCTTCACTTCTGTTTTATTTTATGAGAAAATAACTTCACGCGAAGCAGGCAGAACTCAATGAGCAACATGCCGTATTGTTTTGTGTTTAAGAGCAGTCTGTCATCCATTGTTATGTCTTTGGTACATGCCAAGTTACAGGGAAGCATAATGTGGTTTAGCTTCGTTAAGTGTTGCCATCCTCATGGCAGTGAAGCAGTGTTGGGGAGTCGTTCTTACAGTGCTATGAAAATGTATTTTCCCCCTTTCTAATTTTCTCTACTTTTGCATATTTGTGATACTGAATGTTATCAGATCTTCAACCAAAACCTAATATTAGATAAAGGGAACATAAGTGAACAAATAACACAACAATTACATATTTATGTCATAAACAAAGTTATGCTACACCCAATTCCCCTGTGTGAAAAAGTAATTGCCCCCTTACACTCAATAACTGGTTGTGCCACCTTTAGCTGCAATGACTCCAACCAAATGCTTCCTGTAGTTGTTGATCAGTCTCTCACGCCGCTGAATTTTGGCCCACTCTTCCATGCAGAACTGCTTTAACTCAGTGACGTGTGGGTTTTCAAGTATGAACTGCTCCTTTCAAGTCCTGCCACAACATCTCAATTGGGATTAGGTCTGGACATTGACTAGGCCATTCCAAAACTTCCAATTTGTTGTTTTGGATCATTGTGTGTTTTGGATCATTGTCTTGCTGCATGACCCAGCTGCGCTTCAGCTTCAGCTCACAGACGGATAGTCTGACATTCTCCTGTAGAATTCTCTGATACAGAGCAGAATTCATGGTTCCTTCTATTAAGGCAAGTCGTCCAGGTCCTGAGGCAGCAAAGCATCCCCAAACCATCACACCACCACCACCACCATGCTTGACCTTTGGTATGATGTTCTTACTGTGGAATGCAGTGTTTGGTTTTGGTTTTACATTGTAGAATAATAGTGAGGACATCAAAACTATGAAATAACACATATGGAATCATGTAGTAACCAAAAAAGTGTTAAACAAATCAAAATATATTTTATATTTGAAATTCTTCAAAGTAGCCACCCTTTGCCTTGATGACAGCTTTGCACACTCTTGGAATTCTCTCAACCAGCTTCATGAGGTAGTCACCTGGAAGGCATTTCAATTAACAGGTGTGCCTTCTTAAAAGTGAATTTGTGGAATTTATTTCATTCTTAATGCGTTTGAGCCAATCAGAATTCCTGCAAAGAAACCACAACTAAAGGACACCAATAAGAAGAAGAGTCCTGCTTGGGCTAAGACACACGAGCAATGGACATTATTAGACCGGTGGAAATGTGTCCTTTGGTCTGGAGTCCAAATTGGAGATTTTCTGTTCACTGTCTGTGATTTTTTTTTTTTATTCAAGGCACACTTAAACAGCATGGCTACCACAGCATTCTGCAGCGATACGCCATTCCATCTGGTTTGGGCTTAGTGGGACTATCATTTGTTTTTTAACAGGACAATGACCCAACACACCTCCAGGCTGTGTATGGGCTATTTTACAAAGAAGGAGAGTGATGGAATGCTGCATCAGATGACCTGGCCTCCACAATCCCCCGACCTCAACCCAATTGAGATGGTTTGGGATGAGTCGGACGGCAGAGTGAAGGAAAAGCAACCAACAAATGCTCAGCACATGTGGGAACTCCTTCAAGACTGTTGGAAAAGCATTCCAGGTGAAGCTGGTTGAGAGAATGCCAAGAGTGTGAAAAGCTGTCATCAAGGCAAAGGGTGGCTATTTGAAGAATCTCAAATCTCAAATATATTTTGATTTGTTTAACACTTCTTTGGTTACATGATTCCATATGTGTTATTTCATAGTTTTGATGTCTTCACTATTATTCTACAATGTAGAACATTTTTAAAATAAAGAAAAACCCTTGAATGAGTAGGTGTTCTAAAACTTTTGACCAGTAGTGTATTTCTTTTTAAAAAGACGTGTAAGCTAATTAAATCGTTATGGAGCTTACAGTTCATATTAGGAAATCAGTAAATTGAAATAAATTAGGCCCCAATCTATGGATTTCACATCACTGTGAATACAGATGTGCATCTGTTGGCCATAGATACCTTAAAAGAAAGGTAGGGGCATGGACCAGAAAACCAGTCAGTATCTGGTGTGACCACCATTTGCCTCGTGCAGCGTGACACATCTCCTTCGCATAGAGTTGATCAGGCTGTTGATTGTGACCTGTGGAATGTTGTCCCACTCCTCTTCAATGTCTGTACGAAGTTGCTGGATATTGGCGGGAACTGGAACACGCTGTCGTACATGTTGATCCAGAGCATCCCAAACATGCTCAATGGGTGACATGTCTGGTGAGTATGCAGGCCATGGAAGAATTGGGACATTTTCAGCTTCCAGGAATTGTGTACAGATCCTTGCGACATGGGGCTGTGTATTACCACGCTGAAACATGAGGTGATGGCGGCGGATGAATGGCACGACAATGGGCCTCAGAATCTTGTCACGGTATCTCGGTGCACTTGTGTCCGTTGTCCGCAGCTTATGCCTGCCCATACCTTAACCCCACCGCCACCATGGGGCACTCTGTTCACAAAGTTGACATCAGCAAACCGCTCGCCCACACAACGCCATATACAATGTCTGCCTTCTGCCCGGTACAGTTGAAACCGGGATTCATCTATGAAGAGCACACTTCTCCAGTGTGCCAGTGGCTATCGAGCATTTGCCCACTGAAGTCGGTTACGACGCTGAACTGCAGTCAGGTCAAGACTCTGGTGTGGACGATGAGCACGCAGATGAGCTTCCCGGAGACTGTTTCTGACAGTTTGTGCAGAACTTCTTTGGTTGTGCAAACCAACAGTTTCATCAGCTCACTGGGCGGCTGACCTCAGACGATCCTGAAGTTGAAGAAACCAGATTTGGAGGTCCTGGGCTGGATTGGTTACACGTGGTCTGCGGTTGTGAGGCCGGTTGGACGTATTTTTCCCCCCTCATCAATCTACATACAATACCCCATAATGACAAAGCGAAAACAGGTTTGTAGAAATTTTTGCTAATCTATTAAAAATAAATGACTCGAAATTGAGCTCAGGTGCATCCTGTTTCCATTGATCATCCTTGATGTGCATCAGAATCTTCCTCTGGGAGTTTATCACTTGTTTCTAGCATTGTGAAGTTATGAGTCGTTATAGATCGGTTATAGATTGCGAATTTGTAAAATAAACAAATACACTATATATTATTTAAAAAAGACCCCTCAAATCATCGAAGGTCCCGCGACCCCCCAGGAAAACTTTGGCAACCCCTAGATTGGGAACCCCTGTACTAGAGAGCTCATCTCTTGTGTATCCAGTGGCCACTTCTGTGACGGCTTAGGCATCACCCTCTATCCAGCTCTAGGAGTTCACCTGAAGAATCTGGGTTCATGTGTCATGCTGTTTTCATCCAGGACTCTGCGTCTGTCTCTCTGCTGCTGTTCTACCTTCTGTTTCTGTTCCTCTGCTGCCTCTACGTTGCCCTCCTCTAGCAGCCTGATACATTTTACATTTTACATTTTAGTCATTTAGCAGACGCTCTTATCCAGAGCGACTTACAGTTAGTGAATACATATTTTTTTATACTGGTCCCCCGTGGGAATCGAACCCACAACCCTGGCATTGCAAACGCCATGCTCTATCAACTGAGCTACATCCCTGCCGGCCATTCCCTCCCCTACCCTGGACGACGCTGGGCCAATTGTGCGCCGCCCATGAGTCTCCCGGTCGCGGCCGGCTGCGACAGAGCCTGGATTCGAACCAGGATCTAGTGGCACAGTTAGCACTGCGATGCAGTGCCTTAGACCACTGCGCCACTCAGGAGTAAATACACACACATATATACACACACGGGCACACACACACACACACACACACACACACACACACACACACACACACACACACACACACACACACACACACACACACACACACACACACACACACACACACACACACACACACACACACACACAGGCACACACAGAGAGGGACATTTGGATTCATTTGGATACACAATAAAGCAAACCCAACTGTGTAAGGTGTAACAATGGTCATGTGACGCAGTAATACATCACTGTGTTTGGTGTAACAATGGTCATGTGACGCAGTAATACATCACTGTGTATGGTGTAACAATGGTCATGTGACTCAGTAATACATCACTGTGTTTGGTGTAACAATGGTCATGTGACGCAGTAATACATAACTGTATAACGCACATTCCTACATTCCTACGCCATGCTCGTCCCTCAGTGCAGACAGAGTTGTCACACTATTTGACAATGGAGTCTTACAGTAACACTCTCTGCCTCTCACCTCTGGTCGAGCCGTAGCCGGGTGTAGCAGCAGTAGTTTCAGTGAAGGGTCCAGTTCATTGAGCTCCATAGCAAACTTAGTGAAGCCGTAGTACTGCTCGTGGTCAGCCGGCATGGCATCTGACAACACACAGACACACACACACGCAAACGCACAGGCACACACACCAGAGACACTCTTTTACAACCAAGAGAGATGATTCTATGGACTACAGGGTAAGGGCTGCCTTTAATGTAATAAGGAATACTTCATAAGTAAAGATGTACAGAGCTACTTATATATAATAACATTGTTTCGTTTCAGACACATATTTTGCTAAAATATCTACTGGTAGAAATAAAGATATGGAGATACATTTAAAAAGAAACTGTATGGATAAGAAAAGTATGGATAATTCCAACTGATGTGTACATGGGCTGAACATTTAAAGCACTGATCTATAGCGTGTTTAGGTCAAGACGCTGGCTCAGTATAATAGGTTCAGTCTATTATTAGGATTGTACTGTACATACTTGCTCTCCAGATGC